ACTAAAAGGTCTATAACCCAAAGAGATTTTTTTAAAAAGCACCCGCATGTACAAAAATATAGCAATATGGCAAAGTTGGAAATAGAAGGGATGCCCATCAATTGTGGTATTGCTAAATAAATTATGGTATATGAATGTGATAGAATACTATTGTACTGTAAAAATGGTGAAAGTGATTTCCTATATAAAACACACATACACACTCATATAAGAGACAATACAAACGTACAATGAAATGGGTCTAATAAATAAACAGAGAAGAATGTGTTGTATTTCCTTTGTGAAATTGCAAGGCTCTTTAATAACCCCAAACTTCTTACAGAAACAGAGGTGCTTCATTTTAATACCATTATTCTACCAGTCTTTTATGTATGGCATCAAGTTAAAGAAAACCACCATCTCAAAAGATTTAAAAATTATTCTCAGAAGGTACCCAAGGTTATGGGGGGTATGAGTGGACTGCAACATAAAACATACAAGGAACGTCGAAGAATTAGAATAAAATTATCATCAGGGAAACATATCAGTGAAAAAGCTGACTTGGTTTACATGGTAAGAGCAAGGGAGATTTCAGGATAAAAAGGCATATGACCTTAATCTTCCATTGGTGTCCTTACAATGTCAAGAGAAAGCAGGGAATATTCCTTGCACCTGTGATGAGTTTATAGGACATGGGAAAGAGCTGCAAAGGATGGTTAAGTATGAATTGGTTGTGATCTGCTAATCTGCTAATTTGTCATCTACTCTCAAATCCCTCTTCCCCACTGTCCCTTGCCAAACCTCAGGCCTAGATGGCTCCTACAATCTGCTCTCTCCATTTACAAGCTGCCAAATATAGCTGGAGGAAGCTAACTGGTTACATTATATATTCACATTATCCAATTTCAACTGTGTCCCTGACAATCTTTTTATTACTATTTCATATCCTATCTCATTCCTCACAGACACTACTCCAAACTTCTTCTTTCCTCAGGCCTCCCAATGTCCTCCTCCCTACTCTCTTAGCTCATTTTATACTTTATTGAGAAAGCTGAAGCTATTTGCCATGGCCTTCTCATTTTCTCATCTCAAAACCCCTTGGCATCAACTCCCACCAAATCCTTTTTCCCTCCAATCTATGATAGCCTTTCTACTTGCCAAGGCCAATCCTACATGTGTCCTTGATCACATTCCTTCTCATCTTCTCCAGCAAATTGCAGCTTCAATCATTAACCACCCCCTTTCTATTGATTAGGCAGCTAGATGGTGAAGTGAACTCATCACCATGAGATCAAATTTGGCCTCAAAACACTTACTCGCTGTGTGACTGAGCAAGTTACTTAACCTGTTTCTCTCAATTCCTCATCTGTAAAATGAGCTGGAGAAGGAAATGGCAAATCACTCCAGTATCTCTGCCACGAAAACCCCAAACAAGGTCACAAAGATTTAAATATGACTGAAAAACAACTGAACAAAATCTGTTGATTTGTTTCTATTGTCTTCAAACACACCTAGATATCTCCCATGCTTGAGAAAAACTTTCACTAGACCTTGCTATCCTCTCAAGATTTCATCCTGTATTTCTCCTCCCTTTCTCATCTAAACTAGAAAAAGTTTTCTAATACTGATTACCTCCATTTCCTTTCCTCTCACTCATTCTGAGTTACCACTCCACTGAAACTACTGTCTCCAACTCTTGATTACCAGATCTGATACTTCTTTCTCAATCCTTATCCTTCTTGACCTGATGCATTTTACACTACTGACCACCCTTTTCTCCTGCACTCTTTCCTCTCTCTGTTTTCATGATGTTATTTTTCCTTCTACCTCATTGCTCTTTAGTCACCTTTTTTTGGCTCATCATCCATATCATGCCCCCTAATTGTGGGCATTCCCCAAAGTTCTGTCCTGGACCTTCTTTTTTTTAATCATTCCCTCTTTTGATCACTTCATCAGCTCCCATAAGTTGAATTATCATCTCTATGTAGATGACTCACAGATTATATATACAGCTCTAGTCTCTCTCCCAAGTTCCAGCTCTAAATTTTCAAATGCTTCTTGAACTTTTCACTTTGTGTCCCAAAGACATCTCAAACACAACATTCCCCAAAATGGAACTTGTTATTTTTCCCCTAACCCCATCCCTACTACCCAGTTCCTTATTTCTATGGAGGGCACCATCATTTCTCCAGACTCTTAGGTTCATAACATCAGCACTATCCTTGACTCTTCACCTTAAGTAGACAGTCAGTTAACAAATCTTGTTCTTTCTACCTCCACAGCATCACTTTTATCTGACCCTTTCCTTGTACTCACATTTCTTCCACTTCAGTTCAAGTCCTTTTTATCTTTTGCCTGATATTACAATTGCCTCCTACATCTCTCTCTACTTTAGTCCATACTCTACACAGCTAGCTACTGACATGATATTCTTTAAATGCAGATCTAGCCATGTCATTCCCTTGCTCAGTAAACTCCAGTGGCTACCTACTGCCTCTAGGATAAAATATAAACTCCTTCATTTAGCTTTCTAAAGCTCTTTTCAATTTGGGTCCAACCTGTCCAACTGCTTTGTACATTACTCCCCTTCTCACACTCAGCAATCTAGCGAATTTAGACTTCTATGATTTTTTTTTTATACAGTTTACTTCACTCCTCATTTCCTTGCATTTTCACTGGCCATCTCCTGTGCCTGAAATGTGCTTCCTCTTCACATCCATTTCGCAGAATCACTCTCTTCATTCAAGACACAACTTAAACACTACCTTCTACATCAAGTCTTTCTTGTTGCCCCCAGATGCTAGTGTCTTCCATCCCTAACTACCTTATATTTATCTACATTGTATTTATTTTTACTTATTCTCTTTATATTTCTAAGTGATGTGGTGCCCACTCCCTTCTTCACCAATAGGCTCCTTTGCTCAGGTACTATGTAGGCTGTCTGGCCCAGGTTCAAAGCCTGTCCTCTAATGAGAGGGGAGCTCATTAAATCCTACCCTGTGAGCCTAAGGAAAAATATTTATAGCTTAGATTATGGCTCATGTCTCAAGTTTTCCCCAAAAGAAGAAGTATCCAATGTACAATAAGAATCAGGTATGGAATAGGTAATTTACTCCTACACACAAAAGAAATACTAAACATAAAAGATTCACAAGTGCTTATCTGACAAACTTAAAACAATTTAATAACTTGTAACTATAATTACAATCTGCTAGGAAGCTAAGTTTCCATCCAAGTACAAATTCATTTGTTAATGCCACCCACTTAAAAGTAATTTACCTTTGTTAGACAAGAAAACTTTGATTCAATTAGGCCTTGAATTTAAGTGACAGGGTCGGCTATAAAAGTAAGTCAATTCAAAACAGGGACAGAGCTTCTAAGTGCTAGAAGTATCCAGGAAGGAGCAAGCCTGGAGTTTCAGCACACCTTTGAGAGGATTGTCTGGCAGGAGCTGCAGAAGAATCATTGCCTGTTGTAAGCCTCAGCCTGTCACATCTGAAGACCCGGGCTGAGAGAAGAAAAAAGGTCAGTCTGCACTTTCCCCAGCTTTTCCTCCTGATTCTTGTCTTTCCTCAGATACTCTAATATGATCTGCTATTTTGTTACCCAAACATTTCCAGTAAATCGAATTTTGTGTCAACCACAAAGAGGCCAGGGATTTACTAGAAATAGATATAAATGTAGAGGCAGGCAGAAAGCCCAACTTCTGCCTAAACATTAAAAACTCTTTTCCTAAATAGGGGCTCGATGATTTTGACTGAACTCAGAACTTTTTTAAAATCTAAAATAAACTTCTTAAACCCAAAGAGAAGGGAAAGTTCTTTGAGAGGCCATTACTGTTACCCCTCATACTTAAAAAGAACTAATTGTGGTAGAGTATGTCATAATACATAGTACTTTTTAGATAATAAGCAGTTTGTTGCCTAGATTGATTTTTTAAAAAAATATGGTCAAGAACTATACTTGCCTGAGATAATGCAGCATTAAAGGTGGGAAGTATTGGTTGTTTGGTTTTTGTCTAAGCCTATACTTTTATCAGTGGAGGGAACTCTTTCATGCGTGGACTATCAAGAACTCAGTCTAGAGTTTCCTGGGGCACTGATCAGAGTGACTTGCACAAATGTATAAAACGAATAAGCTTTGAAGGCTGATTTTGAACCCAGGTCTTTTATTGGGGGCAGGGTTTGAACCCGGGGTCTTACATCACGCAGTTGAGCTTCTCCAGTCAAGCCTTTCACCTTATTTGAGGAAACTGGAGTCCGCAACCCTTTAAGTGACTTGTCCAAGCTAAGCACAAAGCTAGTAAATGGGGGTTGGGATTTGAACCCAGATCTTTGCAAACTCCTGGCACAGCCCTCATTTCCCAACACCAAGCAGCCAGCCCCAAACCGCTTTTCTAGTGGGCAGGATCATGAAGTCATGCATTCTGCTTAGGGATAAAGATGGAGGGGAGTGGGAGGAAGGTAATTGTGTAGGAGATGCATGTGTATTGTGATGTACGTGGAGATTCGGGGCAGTGGGGAAACGGGGCGGCCGAGCTTTGTGTCTGCGAAGGAGGGACGGAGGGACGGATTGATGGATGGATGGGTGGAAGGGGGATGGGAGTGGTACAGATAGAGAAGCTCTGGGTCTCTGTAGCGCACACACACCCCTTCCCTCTTCGCCTTTCTAGGGAGGAACGGTTTAGGGACGGAGGGAGAGACTCGCTGTCTGAGAACTCTCAAGCTCCCATTCTCTCCCTCCCGGGGCGCGCGCTCCTTCCCTTCTCAGCGGGGGGCGGGAAGGCGGCGCGCGGAAGGCTCGACGCCGGCAGTGCAGACACCGGAAGGAGGGGTCTCGAGAGCGCGGGGACCGTCTTCTCCGCTCTCCCCCCTGCCTGCTCGCCTCCGTTCAGTTTGCTAATTCTCCCGCCGCCTCTGGCCCCTCCAAAAGCCGTCCTCCCCGTACCACACCAACCCCCCCCGTCCCCGTCCCCCGGGAACACACAAATACCCACACGGCGCGCGCCGGGGGGTGGGGCGGGGGGCACGCGCGCGCAAAATCTCAGGGAGTACGCCTCGATCTGGGGAGGCTACGGGGAGGCCTATGCCAGCGTCGCGCGCTCCATGTGTGAGGAAGGCTGCGCGCGCCTCTGTGTGTGTGTATGTGTGTGTACGTGTACGCGCGTGCTTGTGTGTGGGGTGTCAGGGAGGAGGGCGTGAGACAGAAGAACGCGCGGTGTGAAGGGGGGAGGGACCGTGTATGAAAGGGGATCGTGTGAGTGAAAGAACGTGCTAGAGGCAGTGTGTGTGAAAGGGGGAGGGCGGAATTTCTGTTGTCTGAGTGTGTGAGGGACCTCGTGTGAGAGCTAGACCGACTATGTGTGTGAGTGTGTGAGCGGGAGCGCGCGCGCGCGCGCGTCGCCAAAGTGTGCGTGAGAGGGCAGGGAACTCTGGCTGCGGAGCCGCCGTTGCGGGAGGAGGAGGAGAAGGAGGCGGCTCCCCCTGCGTCCAGCATCCCAAGATCCCCCTCCTTCTTCCCTTCAGTTCCCTTCCCTCCTACTTCCCATCCCTTTCCCCTTCCCTTTCCCGGTCCTTTCCCGACATACTGCCTACCCGATCGTCCGCGCCCCTCGAAGTGCGGTGACCCCCCCAGGCCCGGCCCTGGCCCGGCCCCCGCTGGCTGGGAAGGGAGGGAGGAGCTGCCCGAGCCAGGTGGGTGATCCCCGCCACCCCATCCCACCCCCCTACCCCCACCCTGAAAGGTGTGTAAGGGCGAGAGTGAGCGCGAGCAAACAACTGCTCGCCCGGGTGAATGAAAGGGTGGGGGAGAAGATGCTGACCCCCCCCCCCGATGTTCGTGGGCACATGTGATGAGGTTTGATACACCCGTGTCTGATAATGAGGGAGCCTACTGGTAACCTTGAGTGGGAAAGGCTATGGGTCATCATCCTCCCTTCCTGTATTTGTAAGGGGGTGTGGTAACGCGGTGTGTAGGGGGAAATGTGGCTTTATTACTCCCACCCCTAGCCGATGGTGTACCATTCTCAACAAATCCCTTTTATAAAGTGTGGCTGAGGGATTCTGATAACGTGCTGGGCTCCCTGCAGTTATTTCTTCCAGACCCCATGTTTTCCTCCATGTACATGTCTTTTAGAGTGTATTCCTTGTCTAGAGATGAACTAACCCTTGTGTGATTTTGACACACTGTGCCAAAAACACTTAGACCCTCTTCTCCTTCATCTCTCTGTTCCAAACAGAAGTAAATACTCCCTTCTCCAGGTTTTTCCTGTAATTTATCTCACTTTGCCCGTTATAAAACGGATTTGTATGGTATACTCGATATTTTCTTCCATTTGTGTACGTGAATACAAATGAGGTTATTTTTCCTTTGTAAGAGTATCTTTGGGGATATGATACTCTTCCTGCTGTGTTTATAACTTTGATGTGAATTCGTGTGCATTCTCTCTAAATTTCACAAAGTATTCCCACTTTTTGTGGAGTTAGTCTTTTCACAAGATTTTTCTCATTTGGGGGCTTGAATTGCTTTCTTGTGTTTCTGTTAAATTTTTATTGTAAAAACTGACTTAAAGGATACATTTTTATGATTAAAATTCACAGTGTAATGCCATATAAATTGCTTTAGTTTTCTTTTGTCATTACTTAAAAAGGCTTAAAGGCCTTCTGTTGGATTTAAACATGACTTAAGTCATTGACTGGTATTCTGTTTAATCACTCTTGGGCCCTAATTTCCCTATCTAAAAAATAATGAAGTAGCTGGCCCAGACTTTGAGGTACTTTACACCTTGAAATCTAAATCTGGTATCTTGCTTCATCCTTGAACATATTTTTGTAAACCTACAATTAAATAAAAAGGCATAATTTCTATCAGATCTCTAATGGGAGCTACTTCTGCAGTGTATTAAATGGAGAATGACTAGTTTTGAGTTTTGGGGGTCATGTATGTTTGTTTATTCCTTTTACCTTGATTAGTTCAGTGAACAGCTTTCATTGATGGAGTTGTTGGTCTAAGCAGCATGGCTGATGTTTTTATCTTTCTCTGCTTCTCTCATCTTTCTCTTGCCCTTCCCCTCCCCCATCAGGTATTGAACCCTGCTTGTTTTGGGGGGGGGGCAGTTTGATCCTGAGGAAGGGACCAAGAAGCGGAATTGCTTAGTCAGTCACTCACAAATGTTGCACATAGTCTAAGAGCCTCATTTCCCTTTCATCCTTTCCCCCTGCAGGAAGGGAGGAGCTGAGTCTACAACTACTAGGTTGTGGGGTGCCTGACTAGCATCCACCCATTTTAATTTCTAAGTGGACAGTATCATGTTCCTGTTCTGCCTCCTCCCAGATACTTACCTCTGTGGAACTTCAGGGTGTGAGCATGAAGAAGCCATCCCTTTTTTTCTTTTCCATTGCAACCTTTTTCTTTCCAGAGGGGATTTATCAGCCGACTATCTCAATTTTTTACCCCTTAACAATTTGGTTGTAGAAAGAGACACAAGGCCTGGTTATCACTTTTTCCCTAGTCATATGAACACCTAAAGTAAGACACTAAGTTATGGCGTACTCTCAGAAATAATGGCCTTTTAAAATTCTCTTCCTTCCCGTTTTCTCTAGCTTACATCCCTCTGGAACTTGCTTCTGGGTTAAGTCACTAGATTCATTCATCTAAATATTTCCCCTCCCCCCCAGCTGAAAGAAAGACTTGCTTACAAGAAAGGGATGGGGGAGGGGAACAGAATGGAACAAAACAGAGAGTTGTCACACTGTTTGGGAAGCTTCGAGTTGATTGTATCATTTGACCCTAGGGATCAAGCATAAAGATCTAATCTGTGAAAACTGGTAGAGGTAGAACTTCTGAATACACAATGTGAAGTGTGAGAGAAGCATAAAGGAAGGTATGTTATATTCTGTGTTACTTACTGATAACTTCCTGGGAAGCTTTAGTGATGAGAATTTAGAAAGGTACTTTGAATATGACAAGTCATTTTATAAAGGATTTTGGAAGATTGTCAGACCACTAGAAGATAGTTGCTGAAATTTATGGTATTACTCATCTGAAATCATTTGAGGAGATTAATAAGAACAATTGAAGTATTTTGTTTCTTATGGTGAAGAGGAATGCAAAGAACAGGTTTTTATCTATACACACCTTTTACCCAATACATTAAAACAAAGTTTACTTCCTTCTGAAGGAGCTAAAGATTGTAAGATCTTAGATTTAGAGTTGGCAGGGCCTTAAGAGCCCTTTAAAAGTTAAGTGACTTACCTAAGATCATCTCTACAGTAGGTAGCAGAGTTGGAATTTGAACCCAGGTCCTCTGACTCCAAATCCTGGGGTTTTTTTTCTAGTTATCTAAGAAAAATAGAGGAGACAGATTGGTTATGGGTTTTTGAGATTAGAGGCCTATTTTGTAATTATGAATTTTTCTTATTAAGATTGTTAAAGAAAAAGTTGATGTTCAGTGGTTTTTCAGTCATGTCCCAACTCTTTGTGAACCCATTTGGGGTTTTCTTGGCAAAGATACTGGAGTGGTTTCCCATTTTCTTCAGCTCATTTTACAGATGAGGAATTGAGGCAAACGGAGTTAAGTAATTTGCCCAGGGTCACACAGCTAGTAAGTGTTTTGAGGCCAGATTTGAATTCAGGAAGATGAGTCTTCTTAACTCAGGCCTGGTAATCTATCAGTTTTGACACCTAGCTGCCCAAGAAAGAATATAGGACATCACAAATCTATATTGCCCCTCTTTAACCTGATTTATAGGTCATAGGTCTGCTCAGAACCTGTGTGTGTGTGTGTGTGTGTGTGTGTGTGTATAAAATTTTTTTTCCTCACCAAAACTATGGCTGTTTACATCTTTCATTTTCTAGGATTGCCATTTCATTTAGCTTCTTCAGACCTTAAAAGAGAAATTAAAGGACAAAAAAAACTCTCTTAGATGTCACTGATAATTGGCAAAGCCATATGTGGACCTTAAGGGAACATACATTTCTTTTCCTGGTTTCAAAATTTTGGAATAGACTTTAAAAAATTATTAATTATAATTAATGCATTTTCTTTCTTAACTGAGCCAACTACCCTGTAGCTTTTATTCAGCCAGAGTTTGGGTGAGTTGATATCACAGTTGAGTACCATATCCTTATTGACTGTTGTTCGTAATATAAAGATCTATTGAAGTACATGTTTACTTGTTAGGACTGTACTTTTCTCCCAAAAGTATCCCATATTTCACCTAAGCATGTTGACAAAAATAATGTTTTGATCCAAAATTATCATCTTTGCAAAACTGTTGGTATTTTTCTTTTTCTTCCATATTTTTGCCCCTCAATTTCATTCCTGAGGTCTTCCTCCCTAAGTAGTAAATCTATCTTTGAAATGGTTTTTAAGATACTATCTACAGGGCACAGCTCAGGTGCTACTTCTGATTCCCTCAAGTTAAGGAAATTACTTTATATATACTTTGTATTTCCTTAGTTGTATACAGCCTTTTCTGTCCCCACCCCCAACATAAGCTTTTTGAGAGCATGGCCTTTAAATTTTTGTCTTTGTATCTCCAGTGTTTAGCATATTGCCTTTCATGTTATTTTTCATGGGGGTATAGAGTTTAGATCTGATTTTATTGGTATCCAGAAGTACAAGTTAGGAAGCTCCTTTTACCAGTCCAGAATGACACCTCTTCTGTCTTAGAGACAGTCATCTGGGGCACTGAATTAACCAGGATCAGGTAGCTGACTTTTTTAGAGGCTGGACTTGAACCTAAGTCTTTCTAATTATGAAGCTGATTTTTTTACCCACTATGGAACATTACCTTTCTTGTAATTTTTCTGTTAAAGATTCATTGGAATTGTTTAGAAAGAATATAGTACTTCATATTTGTATGATAAATTTTATGTTTATGAATTTTATGTATATTATATTACTGAAAGTCTCCATACTGGCTGTTATTGTAACTAGTATTATCTTTAATATATTGTTTAGCATTTAAAAAAGTATTTTGAACTTAGTAGACTCCTAATAGATGTTTGTGGAGTTGAACTGAAAATGGGAATGTGGGAGTTGCTACACCAGATCAAACTGCATACGTTCTTATTACACTGGTGTTTCACCTTTGGCAGCATTTCAGATTTTGATGCTTTATCGGAAAGCCAGACTGTATTTTGCCAAATTATTCATTTGCCCACAGCAGCCTTGGATTTCTTTCCTTATGCTTCCTGGTCTTTAGTTGTCATCTTATTCCTTTGACATGATTAAATTAGTAGTATTCTATAAAACCCTGGGCATCAACAGAATAGCTATCCAGCTTAAAGGGCAGGGCCATGTATAGTGTAATTTTTATTGAGCACTTCTAGTTTGTTAGCAGTTACAGCTCCAGGAATATGTTCCAAACTTTACCATATAACAGAGAAAGTTTCTTTGCACCAAACATTCATCACTAAGTGGTTGAAAACATCTTAAATTTCAGTCCATATTTAGAGGCAGAAACTTTGCATTAGTTGATTTGTTTTATGCAATCCAGCCTATTTGGGGGATTTGTAGTTACTGAATTCACTAGGAAATATCACCTGTTTATTCCTCAAATGGGAATGCACAAAAATTTTTGGCCATGAATGATGTTTTTGTGTCCTTAAATGATTATAGAAAATTAAGAAATGGTTTATCAAAAGTCTGCTCTGTGAAAGACTACTAGGCTCTGGGAGTGCAGAAATAAAAATGAATAAATGTCTGCACTCAGAAAACTTAGATTTCATTTCCCCCTTGCTTTTGTACTTCAGACTATTTTGAGGGTTAGTTGTCTTACATTTTTTAGTCCTTTCTGTGAGTAGCTTTTGACTTTGAAAATGCTGCTTGACCTCCTATGTAAAAGATCAAGTATTTACTGTTGATTTTCCTAGGCATTAATGGGTTGTGTTGTAAGGGTATGTATTGTAAAAAGCACCTATTAATTATGCAGAAGAGGAGGATTGATGTTAATCAGTATTTCTTCAAGTGTCTTGATATTCTTAAAAATATTTCTAATGTAAAAGAAGTTACAGTAATGATGAAAATATTGTTAAAGAGAAAACATATGTCTTTTTAAAACTTCTACGATCCCTGTTGTAAAAATCTCACTTCTCTACTTGGTAGAACTTGTAAGCCCGGGTGTCAATAGTTTTCTTTGATCTGGCTTTCCCTTGATGTTATCTTTATCTTCCTGTTTTCTACTTTGACCTCCTATTGGGAACCTAGGCCTAGTTCTGTGTCTTAAATTGAGGAACCTTTTAAAAAAAATGTTCTATTGATTCCTTTTGAACATTGGCCCTACTTATTTCACACTTCCTTGAAGACCATGGAGATAAACACGCATGCACACACACCCAGCTTTTGGGAAAGTCTCTTATTGGGCATATCATATATTCCAACACGAATGGACCATAAAGATCTTTTAGGCCAACTCATTCATTTTCCAGACGTGGAATGTTAGGACCCCGAAGGTTAACTGATTTACCCGAGGTTAGTACAAGGAGCTAGCAAGCAGAGCCCATCTTCAAATCTTAGTTGTTTCTTCAAATCTAGAACTCTTTCCATTGCACCCTGCTAGCTGGTGGGGTGCGGGGGTGTTTCTGGCCTAAGAAACTTTATTCTCTGGCTTTCATGGTGCCAGTTACGAAATGAGAAAATATATCAACAGCTATGTTGTTTAGATCGTGGAGATACACACGCCCGTGCGCGCACTCACACCCACACACATACACACAAACTCCTTGAGACAAAGAAAAACAATTAAGTGGTAACGTTCAATACCATGACTGTCTTCTGACAAACTAGTCTATCCTAGTAGTTCCCCACCTCTTTATCAGGATGAAACTGTGAGGTTGTTATTCTTTTGGTTCTGCTTATTTCCTTCTGTATCAGTTCATACAGCTCTTACTATGTTTCTCAGTGTTTTTAATTCCTCAATTTGTTATTTCTTACTTCCCAGTAATGTTCTGTTATATTCACATTATGGTTTTAAAAAATATCCCACATTTGACAGACACTGCCATCAGTTTTTGTTCTTTGCTACCTATTATAGTGGTTCTATGAAGATTTTGGTATGTGTGAAATCTTTTTTCATCTTTGATTTCCTTGGGTTATATTCCCAGTAATGGTATTGACAGGTCAAAGGGTGTGAATAAATTAGTCACTTTTCTTGCATAATTTATATTAATATCAAGAATCATTATTGTAATCACTTCAAAGCTCCACCAACAGCATATCAGTGTCTTTATTCCCACTATCCCACCAACATTTTTCATTTTTCATGAAAGGAGTAAAAACTCATTTGTAATGTGAATTAATCAAACTATTGATACTTTGGAGTATGTTTTCATGTAGTCATTTATAGTTTGCAATTCTTTTAAAAACTGCTTTATATGCTTTGGCCATTCTTGGTATCATATTTGTCTCTCTTGTATATTTTGGATAATAAACATCCATGATGTTTGATGCAAATATTTTATTACCACCCTACTGTTTTTCTAATTCTGTTGTAGTTGACTTAATTTTTAAAAGGTTTTCAAGTTTTATGTAGTGTCAATTGTCTTTATCTTTTATGATCTGTTTTCTTGGAAGTCAAAATAGAAGACATCAGAGCAAGGTTGCACTTGTACTATAAGGTTCTTTTCTGAGGGTTGGTTTGGGTCTACTAGAGAAAAGTATCCCATAAAGAATTTTTTTTAAAAATTGGCAATTTGCCTCCTGTCAGAATACCCAGAGGTTTGAGAGTAGAACTTTATGCCCTCCTTACCAGTAGTCCTCACTCCCCTGTTATCTTCTCACTAACCACTTTTTGATCTTGACCAGAGAACCTATTTCAGAGGTTTAACTTTTTTATCTCCTCAACTTCTGCCTTGGGGGAGTTTCCCTTTTCTTGTCCCTGGTCTTCACTTTCAAAACTATGACCAAAAATTACTGGTGCTACTAGAAGACACTGTTAGTCTTTGCTGGCTTATGCCTCCACTAACAAGCCGTGTAGTTCTCCACACCAAGTGCCCCTCACTGATCACAACTCTCCTATGTTTGTGATTGCTCCATATTAGAATGTAATCTCTTAAGCTCATGGTCTGCCTTTACTTTTGTATTTTATTTCCAGAGTTTGTGTTTGACAGATATTAAGACAAATGCTTTTTCATTGTTCATGCTTTTCACTCAGCAAGCATTTATTAAGTGCCTACTATGTCAGGCACCTTGATAAATGCAGGGGAATATAAAGGAAAGCAAAAGTAGTTCCTGCCTTCAGGGAGCTTACAATTCAGTGTGGAAATATACTCAAAATTATGCGAAAGAAATGAGCCAGCCTCTTAGAGGGCAGAGTACTCTAGCTGTTGGAGGGACCGCATATAGGAGATTGCATCTGAAGGAAGCTAATGATTTTAAGAGGCAGAGGTAAGAAGAGAGTTCATTACAGGCATGGAGAAAGTTCAGAGGCATAGAGGGGGATAGAATTTGTATGAGGAACAGCAAGAAAGCCAGTTTATCTAGGCACAGATTGTATGAAAGGGACCAATGTGAGTTAAGGCTAAATAGAGGAGTTTGTATTTGTACAGAGACAATAAGGAAGACTAGAGTTTATTGAATAGTAGAGTGACAAGATCAGACCTCTGTTTTAGGGATGTAGCTTTGGCAGCTGTGTAGAGTGAATTGAAAAGGTGAGAACCTAAGGCAGAGGAACTGATTAAGAGGCTATTGAAATAATCTGTGTGAGAGGTGATAAAGGCCTGAACAATGGTGGTAACTGTGAGTGGAAGAAAAGGGACAGATGGAAAAGATTTTGTTGAGATAGAATTGACAAGATTTGATCCACTAAATGGCTGTGTAGGTTGAAAATTTAAGAATGACTAAAGCTGTAAGGGTGGTGTTTTCCTTGACCACAATAGGAAACTTGTTCTGTTTTGAAGATGCCTATGAGATGTCTAGCTTGAAATAACCGATAGACTTTTTGGTGATGTGGGACTAGAGCTCAGGAGAAAGACTAGAGTTGGATATATAGATCTGTGAGTCACCTGAATAGAGATGGTAATTGAATCCATGGCAACCAGTGAGGTCACTAAGAGTGTAGAGAGAAGAGGGCTCAGGAACAGACTTCCCAATACATCTACAGTTAGGGGGTGGGATATGGATGATGATCCAGAAAAGGAACAGTGAGACAGATAGGAAGACAGCCAAGAAAGATCAGTATCAAAAACCCAGAGAGGAGAGGGTATTCAAGAGGAAAGGGTAGTCAACAGTGCCAGATACTACAGAGAGGTCATGAAGGATGAGGATTGGAAAAAAAAAAAAGCCCTTGATTTTGGTGATTAATTCTCCTGGTAGCCACAATTGTGAAAGGTACCTGATCTTGCTCTGCTAAACTTTGTGGTGTGAATTTTTATATTAATGTCACATATCCATTTTAAACTTACTGTGGCACATTAAGATAATAGTCTAATCCTTTCCGGTTTTCCCATCTCTGTTTTACAATTGAAAAAAGTCCCAGAAAGAGTAAATGACTTGACTGGGGCATCCACCATTAATTGACAATGCTCAGTTTTCAATTATTTTTGTTTCTTGCTTGTCCAGCCTGTTCAATTGATTTACTTTTCTATTTTTAATCAGTACCAGTAGTTTTGATAACTACTGCTCTGTAATAAAGTTTGAAATCTGGTAATCTTATGAAGTGTCTTAACTTTCTTCCTCATACTCCCTTTCACCCCTGCCCCACAATAATCTCTGCCTTTTGTTCTAACTTTTTGGTATCTGTCTGGTTAGATTTGTTCATTTCTTCCTAAAGAACTCTACCTTCTTTTATGTCTTTCCTAATGTCTTTGATTGTTCTTCTGGACCATTCTAGAGGTTCTTCAAGTTGCTCCTTTTTCATTTCAAGTGGCTTCACAGAATTTATTATACTATCTTAACTCTCCCAGGGATATTCTGATTAATTTTCCTTTGTTGCGAAGTACTTGGCCACTGAGATGGATTTTTTAAAAATGCTTGCGAATTTCTCCTCAGTAAGCTTTTGTTTTAGTCATTCTGTAATTTTTTTTCTGTTATATCATTGGTGAAAACATACTTATTGCCAGTCTCTTTCTCTCAGAATTACCCTTACTCCATTGATGTTGTGCCCTTCTCCCAACTTTTAGAGTCTATTTTGTGTTCTCCCTGGGATTGGATGAGATCTCTTTCCCTCAGAAGTAACATTCCACAGGAGTGGGAGGGTGATTGGGAATATTTCTTCATAGTATTGTGAAATCATTAATTTAGACCTAGAAGGGACCTCAGAGGCATCTAGTTCAACCTCCTCATTTTATAGGTGAGGAAAATGATTTCTTTTGACCTTTCTTTCAGTTCATTTGTTTTTTTATATCAGATTTTACCTTTTTTTTCATAATTTTGATTTTGTTCCATTATTTCTTGCTGCCTCACAGGTACTGATTTCTCTTTAGTATGTGTTAATTTTCAGAGATTTCCTGTTTGGGCTAAGGTTTTTAATACTTTTTCTTCTAATCTACTTTTTCTTTCACTAATTTCCTCCAGAGTTGTTATTTCATTTTTATCTCTTGCTTTATTTTTATTTATTTTTTGGTGAGGCATTCAGGGTTAAGTGACTTTGCCCAGGATCCCACAGCTAGTGAGTTTCTGAGACCAGATTTGAACTCAGGTCAGCCTGACTCCCGGGCCGGTGCTCTCTCCACTGCTCCGTGTAGCTGCCTCTTACTTTATTTCTTAAGTATTCCCGTAGTTTGTAGCAAAACTATTTTTCCTTTTTGTTTCTGCTTACTTTCCTCTTCTAGGCTGAATTTTTGGGTATCACTAGAGCAATAATTTTTTTTATACTGGTTAAGTTCATCCAACTTCAGTTCGTAAATTGGGGCTTTGTGGCTAGGCACTACCTCCTGCTGCTCTTTTTGATTGGATAGTGCCTTTATTCATAAGAATCTGCGTTCCCGTGCTCACCTTCAATTTCTGGAGTTAGTCTTCCTTGGACCTATGAGGTCCAGAGTAGGTTTTTAGGACTCTGTGACATCTCAGGCCAGAGTAGTAGGGACCTTGGAGCCCTGAGTACCTGGACTCTTCTGGTCAAGGATATACTATTCTGTAGATATCCTATACTGGTTGTTGTCATTCCTGATAGCTTTCAGAGGTCCCAATTCTGGGATTCTGACCATCCTGGAATTTTAGGTGAGCCTTCTACTCTTGCTGCCTCCAAATATAGACCCCTACAAGCTTCATATGTCTCTATCCTGACTGTTTTTACTGGAAGGCTACTGGTTTATTTTCTGTCTTCATGTTAGCTATGCTAATGACCTCCCTTTCCTATTGCTCTTGGGCATATGGCTGACTTTTTTTTCTGTGGTTCTGGGTGGAAGAAGTCACATACTATAGTTTTTCATTTCAATATCATTATTTAGTCTAGTGCCAATTTCAGATTTTTTTAAAAAAAGTATGTGAGGGGCAGCTAGGTGGTGCAGTGGATAGAGCCCTGGCCCTGGATTCAGGAGGACCTGAGTTCAAATCCAGTCTTAGACACAACACTTACTAGCTGTGTGACCCTGGGCAAATCACTTAACCCCACTGCCTAACCAAAAAACAAACAAACTAAATAAATATGTGGGATCTGTGCAGTTTACTTCTCTTCAGGCAGCCATATTAGCCAGAATTTCTCATTTTAATTCAATTTAGCAATATTCTTCCTTTGATTTTCTAACTTTGCTTTTACTAGTATTCTTCCTATTTATTTTATTACTACTTCATTTCCTTTGCTAGTTCGTCATGCACCTTTTTTTTGGGGGGGGTAAATATTTATCCCTGTGTCATCCCCATCTTTTACCTTTTCTGTTCTTTCAGAGCTATAGGAGGAAGTTATAACTATGCCAGCTGAGTTCAGTATGGGCTTATGTTATCATGTTATCTATTCTCTATGGGCCGTCATTGTTTCAGCACTTCTACTCTTTTTTGATTGACTGAAACTTCTCTTCTCTTGAGCCTCTGTCATTGCCCCCTCATCCTCATCTGAAGACTTTTCATCTTTCATGACTGAAAAAATTCTGTGTGAGTTCTCTAATTTCATCATATCTTAAAATCCTTTCACATTTTCACCTGATCTCCTTTTCTTTCTCTTATCCCTGATGATTAGGTGTGTCTTATATTTGTCAAAGTTAACCCTCTGTATTTATGCTTTTGATGGGACTCCTAGCCATGAATGAAGAATTAGTAGTTATTCTTAAGAAGACGTTGCCAGCTGCTGTTACTATATTTTCTTATCTTTATGGTGATAGAAAAATTCTTAAATATTTGTATAGCTGTGATCATCAAAACACTATTTGTATGTATAAAGAAACTCCTTTTTGAGTTCTTGATTTGTTTATATGTTTTTTTCTTTCTCTAGGTAAAGCATATTTTAGAGAGAAAATAATTCAGAAGGAGGAAGACCAAAACAAGATGTGTAGCTCTGTTGCTGCCAGATTGTGGTTCTTGACAGATCGTCGAATCAGAGAAGACTATCCCCAACAGGAGATCCTGCGAGCTTTAAAGGCTAAATGTTGTGAGGAGGAACTAGACTTCAGAGCTGTGGTGATGGATGAAGTTGTGTTAACGGTTGAGCAAGGGAATTTGGGTAAGAATATGCCTAACGGAAGGAAGTGATTTGAGTGATTGATTGATTGATTTTAGGCAATTGGGGTTAAGTGACTTGCCCAGGATCACACAGCTAGTGTCAAGTGTTTAGTCTGAGGCTGGATTTGAACTCAGGTACTCCTGAATTCAGGGCCAGTGCTGTCTCTACTTCAAGTGATATGATTTTTGTTTCCTTTGTGGTAGAGTAAGTCTTAAGGATTATTCACCATTTTCAAAAACTAAATGTAACAGGAAGACTTAAAAAAAACTTTCAGGTTTCCTTATGGTTAAGTCTCTTAGACCTTTGAAACAGGTCTCTTTAAAGGAGTCTAATGGAGATGTAAAAATTAGATCTCTATCTGATAATTTCAGAGGAATTCTAACCTAGTATACTAGTTTCTTTTCATTTCTCCTGTGTTTTGCTTTAGTGAATATTCTGCAGGGTGTTTTTGATTGTCTCCTTTTGATAAAATTGTCAAATAGTTCCAGAGCTGAGTAAAATCTGCTTGTGTAGAGATCTTTATCTTGGCATGGCTAGGTGGTGCAGTGGATAGAGCACCGGTCCTGCAGTCAGGAAGACCTAAATTCAAATCTGGCCTCAGACACTTGACAGTTCCTAGATATGTGACCCTGGACAAGTCACTTAACCCTGATTACTTCACCCCCCAAAAAATCTTTATCTTTTAATATTGTCACATTTATTTCCCATGAGTAATCATGAATGCCTTTAGTTGACTTATAAGCATGCTTTGCTAGATCACCCTTATCTTTGCTCTATAAAAGGAGAGGGCATATGGGACAGTTTCACATCCTTATGCTTTACCCCGTAAGTCAGTCCTTACCAGTGGCGTTTGAGTAGACTCTGCTTTACCAAGATGTGACTTCTTTGGCCTTATTACTAACTTGGAGGGTTTCACTTAGATAGGGAGTACTGTGTGGTGACCAAATGGATTTGGAATTTCTGATTGGTTTTCATAAAACCCTTAGTTTAGTGGCCAGGACACAGGATAAGGACTTAGGAGACTTAAGATATTTTCCAGGCCACTTATTTGCTTTATGATTTTAGACTCCCAATGGGAATTTATGATTCAGTTCTCACATGTAAAATAGGAAGAGAAACACTATTGAGAATTAATGATATGCAAATGAACATTTTTGAGAATACTTTTAAAACATAGGTGTTAATTTACTTTTCTTTGTAGACTATTATATTAAATGACTCATTGTCATATAACAACACTGGTATTGTTATTAAAATGGAAAGTTTGATATCATCGAAAGAACTTTGCAATTGCCTTTCACAAGACATATTCAACAGTGGAACAAATGGTTATCATTTCACATTTAGTTGAAAGAGCTCAAGAATGCAAGATCCCTCTGTACTTATTGTATGTTAAATATGAAAAACATTTGATTTGGTAGCAAAGAACAACTTTACTAGCTCTTTTTCAACAAAGTACCTCTTACCTATATATAAATTATCTAAGATTCCTTGAAGAATATAAACAAGCTTTTCTCTAACTTAGAAAAAAATTTTTATTACTTCTCACTGTCTTATGAAGTACTCATGATAGAAAATTATGACCATCTTCATAAGATTTTATAAGCTAGTTCTTTAAATATTTTTATTTTTGTTGATACATTTTAACATTGATTACATCCCAATAAATAGTCTCACTTGTACCTTGTCATTAGAAAGAGTTAAGCAAAAGCATTTTCTCTAACTACTGTGACCAACAGTATATATGTTACTTTCTGCCTTTATATAACTTACCATTTTTTAAACGAAAGGAAGTGTGTTTTAAGCCCAGTCATTTGGAACCAACATTAACAAGTTTGTTTGACCTGAATTCTGTTTTTTAGCATTGTCTTTATTTATACCACTGTAGCCATGTGTTTTGTTGGGGTTTTTTATCAGCTTTTTTTCCTTTCTGCATCATCTCTTATAAGTCTTGCCACATTTTTTGTAATTCTTTGTATTTGTCATCTCTTAGCTTTTTGTTATGTTACAAATAGTGCTGATATCAATATTTTTGTGTATAATAGGAATTTTCAGCCCTTGGGGTATAAACTCAGACGTGGAAGTGTAGGATCAAAGAGTATAAACAGTTTGTTAGCTGTTTTTGAATAATTTTAGGTTGTTTTCCAAAAAGACTGGACAAGTAATTAATGTGTTCATCCTACATTCCCTCCAATATCTATTTCCTTTTTTTTTGGTGAGGCAGTCATGGTTAAGTGACTTGCCCAGGGTCACACAGCTAGTAAATGTCATGTGTCTGTGACTGAATTTGAACTCACATCCTCCTGACTTCAAGACCAGAGCTCTATCCACTGTGCCACCTAGCTGCCCTCCAATATCTATTTCTATCTTTAACAGTTTAGAGCAGTTGAAGAGTAACTTATTCTTTTTAAATTTACATCAATTCCTTCTACAGATTTTAGATGTTTGATACAAAGATTTTTTTCCCTATTCATATTTATCTAGTTTAATTGATTCTATTTGTGTAAAAGCCTTTTAATTGTTTATAATCAAAATTGTCTGTTGTTTTATCTCTTGACTAGTTGTGCATTCTTACCCAACTGTAAATGTAGAAGACAAACTTTTTTCTCCTCTAATTTTTTTTAGTAGTGTGGCCTATTATGTTTAATTCATTTAACAAAATCAGTTTATGTTCTAAAACCAGTGTTGCTCTTGGCTTCCATTGCATCCTTATCTGTCAATATTTTTAAAAATCTATCCCATTTTTGGCATTGACCTATTGTTTAAATAGGTCAGAATGGAGTTGTCTCAAAATTAAGCAATATCTTTTTCTCAGTTTTATTGTGGTTAGGTATGGATTTTAATATTTACTCTAAGTTGATGATCAAACCGTATGTGTACAGCTAATTCAGAAATGGTTCCTGCACAAGTAACCATTTTTTTCTTCTCTGTTAGAATATAGATCATAATGATTTCTTTGTAATCTGTAAGTTGCTGACCTGCTTTCTCTTTTGATCTTCCTATTGTTTCTAGTACTCCAGAGTTTGACAATCCTAGGCCCCCCGCCCCAAACAAGCCTAATTCTCATTCTGCAAAATCGAAATTGAGAAATTTGAAATTGGCTATTTTGTCCCATTCTCCCTCCCTCCCTTCTTCATCGTTACTTTCTCAGGCTAAACATCTCCAGTCTCTTCTATTGACCCTTATGACATAATCTCATCATCCTTCATGATCCTGATTTCTCATCTCTAGATGGCTTCCATTTAATCGACATCCTTGCTAAAATGTGATTCCACTCTCTCCTGTGTACTTGAGCAAACTGCCCCCATGATAATCCCTTCTTTCTATCTTTCCCTATCAAATGATTCCTTCCTGTTGCCTACAAACATGTTCATTTGTCCACTCTCTTTAAGAAACCCTTACTAAACTCTGCCACCCCCCTTAGGCTTTTGTTCCATATCTCTTCTCTTTTTCATAGTGAACATCCAGAAAAGCTTTTATGGTCAAATAAAAACTTCTCTGGTTTTTTATATCCTTTACAACATGGCCCCAATCTACTTTTCCAAGCTTATAATACATTACTCTTATTTTTATACTCTGCAGTTCACATACTGATCTTTTTGTTCTTCTTCACTCCATTTTTCCTCTTTGTGCTTTGCACTGGCTGTTCCCTGTACCTGTAATGCACTTCCTCAGTTGTACCTTTAGAATGAATATATTGGTTCCTTCAAAATAAAGCTCAAGTCACATTTACACGAAAACTTTTGTTGATCCTCACAGCTGCCCTGTCCTCCAGTTCCCTTTTATATTATGTATTTAGGTAGCACGTATTGCCTCCCCTAGTAAAATGTAACCTTCTTAGAGGCAGTGACCATTTTATTCTTTGTCTTCATTTTTCCCTTGCTCCTACTACATAGTGGGTATTTGTTGATTGATTTAATTCAATGGTTCTTCTCATCTTTCTCCTTTTTGTGACATTCTTCTATACTTTATGTTTTTGACACAAGTCAGGATTCTTCTCCCTTTTTGGATCCTTTTTTTCTTTGTTTTTACCCTCACTTCTTCTTTTAAACAAACTCTTCATTTTCCAGATAATCTGGAGAACAGAACACGTTCCTTTATCCTCTTTACCTTCCCTTCTAGGATGGAGACCAGCCTGCCCTTTAAGCATTCATTAGATTTGCTTGGCAGAGTCAGAAATCAAAGTATGGTATATTCTAAGCACTGTTTTCTGTATTTGCTGGATTCAATGTTGTGAGCCTTTTCTTGTTTTCTTCCTAGTATCTCCCTGGGGATAATCACAATGACAAACTGCCTGTGCATTCTTCAGCTCTGGAGTTGTCACTGTCCTCAACACAATACCTTGACAGCCACACATACCTCTTACTAACATTTTATTGTTAGCTTATAAACCCGCCTGATTTTTGTCTTACCAATTTTCTTCTGGAATCTTAATTTGATTTTTTTGAAAAGTGTATTTTTCTTCTCTGGTCTTCAGCTTGAGTCCCTCTCTTCTTCAGTTGGACCCTTTTTTTCCTCTTGAGGTTCCTTTCTAGTAATTTTCTTCCTTCTAGGGATAGCTCTTCCTTCAGCTTTAACCCCATTTCCTCCTTCATCTCTAGTTTTTCTCTTACTTCAATTTTTCCTTAATCTTATCAAATTTCTCCCCACATTTAGTCCTTGGACGACTCCTTCACAGACCTTCTAAGTTTCCTTTACAATTTATTGTTCTCTCTTCTCCTCATGCAACCTTCTCATATAAAAAATTGTAAATAATTTAGTCTTCTGACAAAATGACTCATGTTAATATTGATCAAGGAAAGACTAGATTTATTTTAGGTGTCCCATACTTGGCAGAAGGAAAAAGAAATAATTTAAAAAAGTAAAATTGATGAACAAGATAAAGAAAGAACAGAGAAAGAGGAAAATGAGAAAGAGACTATTACAGAAGATGAGAGTGTCAAGTAGAAGTAGCAGTTCACAACTCTATCAACAATGCATTAATGTGTCTGTTTTCCCGT